ACGTGGCAAGAAAAGTCATAAATGGGGCAAAAATTACTTAATCAATTTCTCACTTAGCAACATACATTTTGGCCTCAATTGTGGTCGTAAATTGAGGATTACCTGTATATGTTGAGGTTCTTATATTTCAGCTTCTTCCATAAAACAGAGCTTAGATCCGATAGCTAAAAGGCCACTATCACAATCCAACTCTTACTAGATCTGCATTAAAAATGGCAGCTTAGGGTGTCCTTGTAATAAAGTTAGCCTGGTGATCAGTCAGCCATTTGCTTTGGTAGGATATTCTATTTTTTCGTTTGTTTAAAAATGTATTGTATTTCTATTTAAAATACATTTAGAAATAGTAGTAACTGTGAGAAAGATCTAGGAGTCCTAGTAGACTATGGGGGGTCAAACTTGATTGCATCACATGACACATCATGACGCACTGGGACTTTTTTTGCCTTTGCAGAGTTGTGGTGGGTGTGGCCTGCACGTGACACATCCGGCCCGCCTGCTGCCAGTTTGACAGGCCTGTAGTAGACATTCATTTAAATATGAGCCAGCAGTGTGCTGCAGCTGACACAAAATCCAATCCAGGTCTTGGCTGCATTAACAGACCACGTGAAGTGTTAATAGCACTTTATAAAGCCTTGGTAAGGCCACACTTGGAATACTGCATCCAGTTTTGGTCACCACAATGTAAAAAAAGTGTTGATACTCTAGAAACAGTGCAGAGAAGAGCAAGAAATATGATGACTGATGGAAGATAAAACATAAAGAAGGGTTGCTGGAATAGGGTGTGATGACCCAGGGCAGGCACAAAGGCAACATAGTCATAAAATAGGTATGAGTCCCTATTTGCTCCAACTTTGCCCCCAACGTCCCTATTACTCTCCGGCCTGAAGAAAAGCTCTCCCACGAACCTACAACAGCCTCTGACTGCAGATACTCCAGTCCAATTGCTGTAAGCAGTGATTGACTGCAATCAATCACTCCAGAAGGGCAAGATAATGAGTTCAATAATTCCAGCAAGGCAGATAAACACACAGACACATGTCAATAATTCACACAGAAAGGAGGAATGCTAGGAATGCAGGCTAAACTCACAACACTAGACGAATTCAGCATTTGTTCCTGGCAAACACCCCTCCCAACTGCCTCTCCTTTAAACTTCCAGGTGAGCCTTGTGAAGGGAATCTGGGCCTTTTCCTACCTCATAAGCCATGCAACCCACATTGCTCTCTTCTGCGTTCTTCCCTGCATGCCCTAGGATGAGGAGGGGATGGGCCTTGGTCTTCCTGTGGAACCCCTCTCCCTTGTTCTATCTCTTCCCTGCTCTGCCCAGCCTGACTTTGCCCTTCCCCAATTTCCTCCACAGCCAAGAGAGTCATTCTCCCACTCTCTGTCAACCATTTGCCTTTCCCCTCATGTCCCCGATGGGGGCATGACATTGGGTAGGTCTAGTTTAATGAAAAGAAGGACCAGGGGTGACATGATAGCAGTGTTCTGATATCTCAGGGGTTGCCACAAAGAAGAGGGAGTTAAGCTGTTCTCCAAAGCACCTGAAGGCAGGAGAAGAAACTAATAAATGAGAGAAACTAAGGAGAAATTTACTGCCAGAACAAATAATCAGTGGAACTACTTGCCTTCAGAAGTTGTCTACACTCCAACACTGGAAGTTTTTAAAAAGAGATTGGACAACCATTTCCTGGCAGGGTTTGCTGTTTAAGCAGGGGGTTGGACTAAAAGATCTCCAAGGTCTCTTCCAACCCTGTAATTCTATTTATTCCATTCTATTCTATGCCATTTCATTCCAAATATTTCTTCTACCATCTATTGACAATTGTCCCCTTTGTCAGCCCCCATTTTCTAGGTCCTGCTGTATAATTTCCTCTATCTGTGACCTAATGGAGACTTCCCTGCAAGTAAATTTACAGAATTTACATATGGCATTTAACATTTAGCAGTTGTTACAACAACTTCCTCCTTCAAGAATCAAATTTCATGCTGGTTGCTCTTGGGGGCAGCCCTGGCTGCAGGAGTGAAGATTGGTCCCCTGGAGCATCTCTCCTGATGGTATTGCCCTGTCCTAAATCCTTGAGAGCCGGTTCGAGCTTCTTCGGCGACAGACAGAAATCCGCGATCATGCGTGGTTTCGGTCTAGGCTCGCCACTGGAGCGCCCCGAGCCAGCTGGGTTTGGGGCTAAGCCACCCCATAGAGGTGGTGAAGAGGGGGGAGATTGCCAACAGGGTTGAGGAGAGCCGCATCTCTCCTCCTCAGCTGGCTATTACTCCCTTTCCCGAAGGCGGTTGCAGCGGTGGTCAGAAGTGATCACTTCAAAGAAGAACTTGACCGGAAAAGAATGTGCAGGGGGAAGATAAGTGAAAGTTCTGGCTGACCAGGTTAAATTGCAAAAGCAACAATTAAGATACCCTGGAATTTAAACTAAAAAAGAAAAACATTGTTCCCAAAGAAGATTCTGAAGCAGCTAAGGAAAATGAAAAGGGAAAGGTTTGGTTTTTTCTTCTTCTCTCCCTTTCCCTATACCAGGGGTGTCCAACCTTGGCACCTTTAAGACTTGCTGGCTGAGGAATTCTGGGAGTTGAAGTCCACAAGTCTTAAAGGTGCCAAGGTTGGACACCCCTGCCCTATACTGACAACTAAGAGACTTAAATAAGAAAGTGTGGCAGGGGGAATCCACTTTGACATCAACAGCAATTAAGCTGAAAATAAAATAAAATGTCAAAGGGATAATAAAGATTTCTGGACACTAAAAAAAATTAATAAGCAGGAAAGGAGAGAAAAAGAATAAAAGGGCAGGATCTGGAAAAAAGGGAGGAGACTGCCTGGAATTAAAAGGAATCTACAGTAAAACTTCAACAAGACTTCTAAAAGATACATTTTAACTGAAATTTGACAACTAAATAGTAGAACCCCAGGAAGAGAAAGTGAAAAAAAAAAGCAAAAAGCAACAGCTTGCATGTATTTGGATTACTTGGTGATCTTTGGATTCTTGGTTATTGCATTTGAATGACTAAAATCAATCGGGTGGTTGTTTAAAAATTTATACAATGGCACTACTTCTGGATGAATTGAAAATGGAACTTAAAAAGTACAAAGAAGATGCACAAGAAGGGAGAGGTTCTTTTGACTTCGTTTTTCAATTCTTAGAAATGGAGATTTGGAACTATGAGAAACAACAAGAAACGTCTGCAAAATAAGAAGACTGGGACAAAGAAGAAGCCATCTTTAATGAACAAGTAATTCTATGTGGGGAAGAAAAAGGAAAGAAGGGAAAGAGAATGGAGAATTTAAGACTTAAAAAAACAACCAAAGTAAAGAAAAATAATTTGAAAAATAAATATAATACTGGAAAGCAACAGAAAAGGGGAATACAGAAGAGGGAAGTAGACGTAGAGAGACAAGGGGGTAAAAAGAGGAGAGAGAAGAAGAGAGGGAAGAAGGAAAGGAAAAGAAGTTACAAAGGACAGAAACAAGATATAGAGAAACAGGGCCTATTTAGAGATAATGGGTGAAAATTTAACTGAAAAAGGGATTCTGTAAAGGTACATAAGATTGTATTGTTATATTAGTAATAGCAATAATTTTAGAAAATTGGAAACAATGTATGATTAAAATGAGGAATAAAATAGTCACTGTAATCTAGTGAAATGTTAATAAAATAAATGAAATAAAATAAATGAGAGAACTGAATTAGGAAGGGACGGGAACATTTTAATTAATGTTTTATAAAATATAAGTGAAGGGGGGGAATTAATTATGGAAAGCTTGTAACTGTTCCCATAGAATTATGATATTTAACTGAAAAGTAATGTTAAAGAAGTTAAGATTTTAATGAATATTAACATTAATGATAGAATTGAATTGGGATGGAATGTGTTGTTTTAACTACATATATTTATAATCTTTTTTAAAAAAAGAATATAGTGTGTATTTAAGAATGCACCAAGCAGAATCCGAATGGAAGTTATGCATTATATTGAATGTTATAACTTTAAGGTATATATTGAAGCTTAAATAAGAGTTTAATGGATAAAATTAAAAGATATAAAGGTGTCCTACTCCAATCAGCAACTACAGGAGAAACTCTGTTTAATGAGAAAAGATAATATGGAAATTGAAACAGGACAGACAAAAAGTATAAATATAATGATTTGAATTGAGATGAGATAATTAAAATAAAATTGAGAAAATTAAAAGAGGGGAGAAGCTATGTAGCAAATGTAAAACAATAATAAGATATGGAATAGAACATAAAAATAAGAATGAAATTGAATTTGTGTCTGTACGAAGAAATGTAACCCGGGTTTTACGCTACTTTCAAAAAATATGTTTTATCTGTATTTCTTTGTGAAAAATAAAATTTACAAAAAAAAGAAAAAAAATCAAATTTCATGCTGGTTGCTCTTGGGGGCAGCCCTGGCCTGCAGGAGTGAAGATTGGTCCCCTGGAGCATCTCTCCTGATGGTATTGCCATGTCCTTGAGAGCCACATTAAATAAGTCAGAAAGATTTGGGGTGTGGAGTGGCCTTGATCTCAAATGAGAGACATCCCCAAGAAAACTTATTCTGTAAGTCTGTAAAAAAAACCATTAACTTTTAGGGCTGAGTACATAGCTAATCTTCGGAAGCTAAGTAGCATCACATTTCACTATTTCACTTGGCTCAGTTGCAAAGATCGGTTGCTAGAAGTCAAAACATTTTGATAGCATTTAATCCGTGAAAACACCTTGCAGACGCCTTAGGTAGAGACGGGACATGCGTTTCCTATCCGGAGATGGAAGCCAAGAGGACAAAATCTGTGCCTACAAAGTAAACGGGCTCTGTGGTTGAGTTTAAAGAGTTAAAACCATCTATTGCTAGAAAGTATGGGAAGAGAGGAGAAGCGCAGAGGAACTTCCTCTTCCGGAGGACTCATGGGAGGAAGGTGGTGTGCAGAGCGGCTTTTCTGTTCTTCCCAGGGTCGAAGCAGCCGCTGGCAGGTGAGTTGTGGGCAGCAGGTGGGAGGAGAGTCCGGGACCAAGTCGGGCTGATCGGTTCCTTCCACGGCCTGGAAGCAGAGAAGCAACTGGGCTGAAGCGTGTCAGCTGCTGCTGCAGGTTCCTTCCCTCCCCAAATTTAAGCCCACCGGTGGCTGCAATTTTCCTTCTAGTGAGAAGATTTTAAAAACCTCTCTTAAATTAAGGCTGTTTCTCCATCACTAGAGGAGTGTTGCAGAGGAACGTCGTTGGAAGGATCCCTGGAGGTCATCTATTCCAACCCCCCGATCGAGCAGGAGACCCAAGATCATTTCAGAGAAATGGCTGTCCAGTCTCTGTTTCAAAGCCTCCAGTGATGGAGCACCCAGAACTTCTGAAGGCAAACAGTTCCCACTGGTTTGTTCTGGGTGTCAGGAAATTTCTTCTTAGTTCTAGGTTGCTTCTCTCCTTCGTTAGTTTCCATCCATTTGTCCGGCCTTTGGGTGCTTTGGAGAATAGGTTGACCCCCTCTTCTTTGTGGCAACCCCTCAATTATTATCATGTCTCCCCTAGTTCTCCTCCTCACTAGACTAGCCATGCCCAGTTCCTGCCACTTTTTTTGCTTATTTCAGCCTCCAGCCCCCTAATCCTCCTTGCTGCTCTTCCATGGGCTCTTTATGGAGTCTCAAAAACTTTTTAATACTTGTTGACCAAAACTGGTTGCAGTACTCCAAGTGTGGCCTTACCAAAGCATTATAACTTGGTACTAACACTTCACTTGATCTTGACTGTATCCCTTTGTTAATACAGCCTAAGATTGCATTGGCTTTTTTGGCCACTGCAACACCCTGTTAACTCACATTTAAATGATTATCCCCTGGGATTCATTGTTCCCTCTCATAGATACTGCCATGTTCCACCTATTTTGTGCCTGTACATTTGGTTTCTCTTGCTTAAGTGTAAAACCTTGGGGTTTTTTTCTCCATTGAGTTTCATTGTGTTAAGTAGGGCCCAGTGCTCAAGCCTGTTGAGATTCTTCTGTATCTTGACCCTATCTTCTGAGGTGTTGGATGTTCCTGCTAGCTTGGTGTCATATCAAATTTGATGAGTTTGATAAATATAAATCACCAGGACCTGGTTCTTGGAACATCAGAGTTCTGAGGGAGCTGGCAGATGTTATCTCAAAACCATTGTACCATATCTTTCAAAAATCCTGGGGTACGCTGTGGTATTACCTGAGTATTGGAAAAATGTTGATGTAGTTCCCACTTTTAAAAAAAAAGAAAAAGAGAAAACCCGATCCAGGAAATTACAAGCCAAGCAGTCTAACATCAATACCTAGGAAGATACTGGAAAAAATAATATAAAGCAGATCTGCGAACGTCTAGAAACAAATAACTTTTAGTTAAAAGCCAGCATGGATTTGTTAAAAAACGATCATGCAAAACTTGTTTCATTCTTTGGCACAGTGACTAAATTAGACGACCAGAGAAATGGTGTGGACATAGTATATGTAGACTTTAGCAAAGCATATGATAAAGTAGACTACAACCTATCTTTGATAAGCTAGAAAAATGTGGGAAAAACAGCATCACCAACAGATGGATTTCTAACTGGCTGACAAACCATACTAAACAAATAGTCCTTAATGCTACTACATCTACATGAAGGGAGGTAAGCAGTGATGTGCCACAGGGTTCTGTCTTAGGCCCAGGACTCTTCAGTATCTTCATACATGACTTAGATGAGGGAACAGAAGGGAAACTCATCAGATTTGCAGATGACTCTAAGCTGGCAGGAATAGCAACACCCTCAGAAGACCAGTTTAGGATCCAAAAAAATCTTGACAAACTTGAACAATGGCCCCTATCCAACAATATGAAATATATTGTGGAGAAAAGCAAGATTTTATACTTAGGCAGGAAAAATGTCTTCTTAAAAACCTCCAGTGATGAAGCATCCACAATGTCTAAAGCAGAGGTCTCATTCTCGTGGCCTATGGGCCAATTGCGGCCCGCAGGACGATATCCTGTGGCCCCCACTGTGATATGAAAGTATAATATTAGTGTATAATCTAAAGTATAATCTAAAGTATAATATTATGCGGCCCAGCCTCACCCAGACTCTGCCTCCAGCGGCCCCCAGGTAAATTGTATTTGAGACCCCTGGTCTAAAGACAAGCTATTCTATTGGTGAATTGTCCTCACTGTTAGGAAGTTTCTTCTGAATTCTAGGTTGCTTCTCTCCTTGATTAGTTTCCATCGATTGTTTCTTTTTTTAAAAAAAAAAGTTTTTTATTTTTACAACAAATAAAACCTTTTTTCAGTTGTACAGTGTGTTGGTTGGATACATATACTGTATTTTGTGCACATATAATATCGATATACATTTCTTTTTAGATTATATTCATAGTATATTCTGATCAACATTCTAGTGTCATATTAATACATTACCATATTATCATTAATATTTTAATTTCAATTCTAAATTATCTTTCAAAAACAAACCTAATATGTACTAAATTATATTCATATCATTACGTATTCAGAAATAATCAGTTATATGTTATTACTGTTACTATATAATTCATTTTCTTACTCTTTTATCTAACCAATCATAAAATAGATCCCATATCTTATAGTACTTCTTTTCTTCCTGTTTTCTAATTGCCATTGTTAATCTACTCACATTCCATTATTTTCTTAATCATTTCCTTTTCTGTCAGAATTTTCTCATTTTTCCAATTTTGTGCAAATACAATTCTAGCTGCTGTTATTACATTAATAATCAAATATGTTATCTCTTTATTACAACCTTCAGGCAAAATCCCCAATAAAAATATCTGGTTTTAAATCTATATGTTGTTTAATTATTTTTTCCAACCATGTGTGTATTTTAATCCTATATCTTTTTGCTTCTGCACATATCCTCCACATGTTTTAGTATGACCCCGGTAACTGATGACGTTTCCAACATTTCGCCAATTTGTCTTTAAACATCTTTGCTGGGGATAGATGCCACCTGTAAAACATCTTATACAAATTCTCTTTAGAAGCCGTTAGTTATTGTTAGTTTAGTTATTGTTAGTCCATAGTGTATGCCACTTGTCTAAATTTATCCCATATCCAAAGTTTTTCCCTCGAGCAATGATTGTTTTTTTAACTTGCTCTTCTTTTAATTTCACTCCTAATAAATAACCATACAGTTTTTTAATCATCATCTCTTCAGTGCCTGTTTGTATTTTATCTAATTTAGTCAATTCCTTATAGAACCCATCTATCTTGCAATCTTTTTAATATCTTGAATGTATTTATGAATATGACTACCAATTCATATTCATCCCTTGTTCATCTAATTCTTGCTTTGTTTTGAGTTTACCCTGTTCATTTTAAGAGTTCATTATATCTAACAATATGTTCCATTTTGAAAACATTTGGATACACAATGCCTCTATTGTCGATAACCAGACTTGTATTTTCATATAATGTTGTTCCCTTATTTTCTCCCATATTGTTAATAAGGCACCTCGAATATAATGTCTCCGAAAATACCCATGTACCTTACTTTCCTTATACCATAAAAATACATGTCATCCCAATTGCAAATCGTGACCTTTCAATTTTAACAATCTGATATTTCTCAAAACAATCCTTTCATCCACATCAGTATTACTGCCTGGTACTATAATTCCCAATTGGGTAATATTCTAGTATCCTCTAACAATTTTAACTTAGTTCTTGTCTTTTCTCCCTGCCATATAAATTTGAACATCATTTTATTTAAGTCCTCAAAATATTTTTTCTCTAGTTTTATTGGAATCGTCCGGAATAAGTATAGTATTTTTGGCAATATGTTCATTTTAATTGTCGCTATTCTCCCTGTTAAGGATAATTGTAGAGTTTTCCGTTTTTCCAAGTCTGTCGCAATCTGTTGTTTCAGTCTGTAATAGTTGTCTTCTTTTAGTGTTCCATATCTTGCTGTCATTTGTATCGCCAAGTATTTCACTTTTTTGTGATCTGGATTTTTAATCTGTCCATCAATACTTTCTGTTGTTTCTCCCTCATTTTTTCTTTATTTATTTTCAGTCCTGAAACCTCCCATATTCCTCTATCTTTTCTATCAACTAAGGTTCTGTTTCCAACGGTTCTTCCAATATAAAGACCAGATCATCTGCAAATGCTTGCAGTTTATACTCCTTTTTTATTTTCATTGCCTTTATTTCTTCATTTTCCTGAATATTTCTGTTCAATACTTCCAAAGTCAATTCAAATAACAATGGTGACAGTGGACATCCTTGACCAGTTCCTTTTTTAATATTTATATTATTTGTCAAATCTCCATTTATCATTACTTTTGCTGTTTGTCTATAATATATTGCCTCAATAACCTGATTAAATCTTTCTCCGAAGTCCATCTCCTTTATTTGCAACAACATAAATTGCCAATTTACATTATCAAAAGCTTTCTGTGCATCTAGAAAAAACAAGGCCATTTGTTTCTCTGGATGTTTTTCATAGTATTCCAGTTTATTCAATATTATCTTCATATTTTTTATTTGTCTCTTAGGCAGAAATCCATTTTGATCAAGTGTATAAAATGATTCAAATATCTTTTAAGTCTTTCTGCCAGTTTTGAAGCAAATATTTTGTAATCTGCATTTAGCAGTGATATTGATCTATATTTTTTTATTTATTGTAAGTCAGTGTCTTCTTTTTGTATAAATGTAATATATGCCTCTGTTCATGAATCAGGGACTTTATTTTTTGTCAAAACCTCATTCATTACTTTGAGCATTATGATACTGATTGGTTCCTGTATTGTCTTATAAAATTCTGCTGGTAACTCATCCAGGCCAGGCACTTTCTCAGTGTTTTGTCTATTTGTTGCCTCTGTCAGTTCCATCAATTGTAGCATTATCTTTGTTTCATCAGAAATTTTAGGTAATTCTGCTTCTCGCAGGTACTGTTTAATTTTCCCTTCCTCAATATTCCCTTGCTCATATAGTTTCTCATAATATTTCTGTACTATTTCTTTTTTTTCTTCATTTCCATGACATACCATTCCATTTTCATCTATTAGTTGTGTTATCTTTTTCAGATCCCTCTATTTCTTCAGTTTATATGCTAACCATCTTCCTGGTTTATTGGTATTTTCAAAAAAGTTCTGTTTAGCTTTCCTAATTTTTTGTGCCAG